TAGAAAATCACACCTTCCCCCGAAAATCTTTCTAAACTTTTTCATTGCTATATTTCAAGGAAACATAAACAGCTAAGCAAGCAAAAGATGTTGCAGAACTAATGAAACAATAAATAACACTCTGATTAGACAGATTGAGTAGCAGAAGGGAGAAAGGGAGGACAACAGAGAGATATAGGCGAATGAGAAAAAAGTATAAAAAAGCAACAACATACCTAGTGAAATCCCACTAGTAGGGTCTGGGGAGGGTGGTGTGGACACATACCTTACCCCTACCTTGTGCAGAGGCTATTCTGATAGACCCTCAGCTCAAGTAAAACATATCAAAACCGGTTTGAAAAAGAAATACAGTAGCAAAGAGGTCATGTCGAAAATAATGGGGAAAAGAACAGTAGCAACAACAAATAATACAAAAACCCGAAGGAACGGGTAATAGAAAATTCAAAGAATAAGATAATAGAATAGTAATTATGATATTAATACAAGGAGTGTTGACAAAGTACATAAGGGTTCCATTCACGGAACAAGAACTCTGACTAGTTGGAATGCCTAAAACAAATAAAGCTCGATTTGTAACTAAAAGATAAGGCTACACCAAATAGCTCCATATAACATTTTCTTACATTCTTCTGTCAGTTTAGGTGCATAGTGATCATAGAGAACTTAAATCTTCTTTTTGTTTTGTGAGTAAACTTGTAGCAATTAGCACCATGATTACGTTGAACTGGAGACCTTTACACAACGTTAACCATGTTTAATTAATGTAGCTATCATTTTTCCTAAAGTTGTATGATTTTCTAATCACAAATTATTTTTCTTGTTACATACAAATCTACCATAAACAAAGAGGGAATGAATGGACTAGTGTTGTAGAAGCTGGTCTTGTTATTAGTTGTCCAAATTCTAAAGGGCATAATACATAAACAAACACTCAAACTTGGCTTCAGAGGGCAAGTAAGTTCTCCAACTTTGAGTATGCACATCTAGACACCTCAACTCATCTCCACTGTGTCAATTGAACACTCCTACTTACAAAATGATCATCTAGACACCTCGTCCACAAGACATAGTGGAGACGAGTTGGAGTGTTTGGTTGCCAGTTGAGATCAAGTTGAGGTGTGTAGATGTGCACTCTCAAAGTTAGAGTACTTACTTGCCAGCTGAGGTCAAGTTTGGGGTATGTTTATGTATTATGCCAATTCTAAAGTTTTTGCATGGCAACTATCTCATTTCGGGCTGTTTCTCTCAATAAGTTTGCATTATGAATTGGGGTATTTGATATGTTACTTTTTCATGTAATTTTCTTTGTTAATTTTAAATCTATAATCTATATTATTGTTTGTTAAAGTCACGCTTTGTAAATGAAAGCTCGTCAAACCCTGGGACTGATTTTTGTTCTGAAGTTCAAAACTTACATAAATGTTATTCGAGTTTTATTATAATTTGTATAATTTTTTCAAAACAGGCATCAAAGAAGTTCGAATTGTCCAATGTGTTGGCAGCCCTTAAGTCTGAAAGATCCTACAAGGTTCATTTGGCTTCTTTTTCCCTTTCGATTTTCACAAATTCATATCATTTTCATGCTACGTGTTACCTTTGATATTCGACTTTGATCGTCTCCCCTGATTCGAATGATATTGCAGTCAAGAATTGCTTGAGGCAGTGGAACAAGAGAGGAATATTAGGTTTAATCAGGCAAGAAATGCTACATTGTTTCGTCGTCCTACTCTGGTAAATTTTGAATTTCACAAGCTATAATGTTCCTTCTCCTATCTGATTAATGAAATTCCACAAGCTATAATGTTGTGTTGTCTCATTTTCCTTTTTGATTGCTCTCTAGTTGACCACAGGGATGAGTGAGTCTGAACTCGAAGAGCGCATTATTCAGCATTTGGCTGCTGCTGCAGCAATGGGACGGGGACGCCACTTTGGTCAACGAGAGGGATCAAGAAATCAGTCATCTTCCCATGGTCGTCCACATTTTTTAGTGTTTTCATCTCATCCTGATCCATCTCCTACTGCTGCTGCTGAATCGGATTCTCGTCAAGCTATAGCTGATCCTTCTGTTCCTATAACACCTGTCCGCCGTGAGACCACACAGTTCTTGCCTCACCTCTCATCTGGTCAAAGTAATCAACTTTCTGCTTCATCATCTCGATATGCTCGCCCACAAACCGTTAAACAAGAAATATCTGTTGGCGATAGGTATTGATGATTTTCAATCTCTTGGCTAAACATCAATGGTACACATGTTTCTCATATCAAAATTTTTCATTTTCTTTTGTTTGTTTGTTTTTCGTTTTAGAAGCTCTTCTAGTCCATCTTTGACAGAAAACCAGGATACAGAAGGACCATCAGACCTTCATTCACTATCGGAATCCTGGAAATCTCGATTTAATTCAATGTCAATGAAGTATGAATTGCTAAACTTGCTCTTTTGAGTGTGTCATTTTAGAAGCTATAAGCAATGTTGAATGTGGTTTTTGCTTTCCAGATATAGAGAATCAATCACAAAGAGTACACGAGGGTGGAAGGAGAGATTGTTTTCTCGAAGTACTTCTATGGCAGATATTGGTTCCGAAGTTAGGAGGGAGGATAATGCTGGAACAGGTAATGTATCTCGCATAATGGAACACCTCGAGACACAGGAAAATCAAACGGACAACAACATACCTTCAAACGCGGAGCAGAGACACAATGATAATATGGTTGCTCATAACGAAAGCAGATTGAACGGAAATAATCCTACGACTTCCTCCGCAAGTTCAGCTCGGAATGAAGTCACTATTTAATCAGTTGCATGGCAATAGTCCTCAGCATTTCATCTTTGAAAGTAAGCAATTCTTTTCTTTCTATTATCTCTTTTATTCTTATTGTGTCTTTAAAGATGCTTTTTTTTATGAAACATTGGCATAACCGAAATCGGTAGTATCTTGGTTCTTGTCAAGAGTGGCGGATCTAGGCTAGACGCAACGGGGTCTGCAAGACCCATATGCGTCTAGCTCGGACTAGATTGTATGTATGTGAGGAAAGATTAGAACTCATTGACTCGAAATCCTGAATGTGAGTCATGTGACCCTCTTTTTGGTTAACGTCCATGTTCGGAGAGTATAATTGGATAATACAAGCAAAATCATATCGTTGTTCTTGCTATTATCGATCTTATAGACGAAAAAAAATCTAGCATCTTTATTGGTGTTTGTGTAAACTTGGATGAATTATTGCTCAAAAGAGATTGAACTAGACCATCTCTTTTTTATATAAAGGATAGCTCAGTGCACAAAGCATTCTACGTTCGTGAGGGTCCGGGGAATGGTCAAAAACCAAAGGGTGTGTACCTTGATGCAATCATTAGTGACTGATTTCACAACTTGAACCTGTGACCGATTGGGATTGATTCTCAGGATCGAGCCCTTATCAGAGGCGTGCCTACCGACACCTGTCAAAGTCTTCGGCTTGCACGACGTCTCCTTCCATAAATCACACAGATTACAACCTTCGAGATTATTGCTTTTATGATGAGATTTATTCCGTTTTCCAGGTTTTTCAGCTCATCAACCTTCCAAAAATGATATGCAAGGACGATAACAACAACAACAATTACGTCTCAATCCCAAACAAGGAGAACAATGTACTATATTTTCGCGCTGAATATTCGATGTCTGATCAGAACAAAGAAATGAATAGCCAGAGAAAGATAATGTTTATAGTGTGTACACATAAGTTAAATGTTGAACATTCACTAAAATTTGGCTCTAAGGAGTTTGTCTTGGATTTTCACTTTATATACAACTTGAAAATTTGACATAATTTCTGCAATTAGAGTTTAATAAACCAATTTTTTTTCTATTTTAAAAAATAATAATTCAAAAGATGCTCTCGAATGTTTTTTTTTTTCCGGAAGGTCTCACACCATTAAGAGTATTTTTACATCGTTATGTTGTTTCCTTATCTTGTCAATTTGAATGTAGATTTTGTTCACACGCCATAAAAATTCCCCCTCAAAACAAATTTTCATGTGACCAATAACTACGATCCACGAGTTTTTTTTTTCTTAGAGCTCCTCTCCTTATAGACTACAGTCAAGTGGCTTTTACTCCTCAACAAAAATAAAGCCTGAATTCTAGTGTAACTTTTCGTCTTTGATCGGTGTCTCTTTCAAGCTCGAGAACTAAGTTTAACATGACCAACTATGAGGATCTACACGTCAATTTTCAAGATCCATTATGTGTTACTCATGTGATCAAGCATTTATCGCCTCCAAAGTTCAAAACTAGCTTCTTCTTGTATATGTGCATCTCTATCTCCATCTCCGAGCTATTTTTGACATGTAAAGGTAATAAATTGAGCGGAATGTCATAATTACTTTTTTCTCTCTCTCTCTTCATATTCGTCTCATCAAATTATTCATCTCTAATGTCAGTCGTTGGAATAGGTCAGCCTAGCTAAAAATACTTTTGATATCATATGATATTTTATACTTTAGACATGTCACTCACAATTTTCATCAATAAGCCTTGTATATCGTATCATAAACAATATTATTACACCTTATACATAACTCACAAATTTTCAACTATCAATTTAGATTTTTATCTTCGGACCCAACAATGTATACCTCTCAAGTGACCCGCCCTGCTAAAGAAGATCGATGCAAAGGTTAAATTTCACCACCTCTATCTACCCAACTAGTACTATTTGATCTACAAAAATCCAACCTGAAACTTTCTCTCCCCCCAGAAAACCCTCTATCCCCAAGCCCCTTTACTAGGTTGGGCAAGCTTTGATTCCCTACTCCCAAGAAGTTGTTGGTCAGGGATCGTGGAACTGTCGTTCGAGAAGTAAGAAGTTGTGTTTTGGTCACAAGGATAATAGTTCTTCTTAGGTCAGGGGCGGCCGGACTATAATGCAGCTGATTGTGTAAATATTTTTTATTTTTACTATATTTATTATTATTGTTATTATTGTAATATTATGCAATAATAAAAAATTGAACAAAAAGATTACTAATATTACTTGAAAGTAATAATAAATGGCCTTAGTACTATAATGTCAATCATTATTATCCTTATTCAAATAAGGGTATCAAACCTACCCAAAAAAAAACAAAAAACTGCCGACAGAGTTCAAGGGTAGAATAGTCAATTAAATATTGTAATCATTAAGTTTCGATTTACGTGATGGTGTTCGATTGACTACAAAATTTAAGAAAATAAATGAAATTTCTAATAGAGTTGTCAATATTTATGTAATTATAAATTATCTTAAATAGAAACATATCAGTTTTTACTAGATAAACTAAAAAGAAAATATCGTCAAATAAATTAAGATGATGAAATAACACTCAAGATTAAAAGTTTAAAATATTTGATTCATTATAAAATTTAGTGTCGGTCAATAGTTTCTGATCACATGCATTGTGTACGTGTACCCTTAAGTACAAATAGAATTATAAAATAGAATTGAAGAGAAAAACGATATTTTTATTATAATTTGAGTGCAAAACTTTATGACAATCCAATTCAACCTCTTGTTATATGATGTGAAGTGAACAAAAGATTGAATTAATCAACAAAAAAAAAGTACTATAAGTCCTTTGTGTTACATATTTTGCCCCACGCATCTAACCACCTCGTGTGATTTATTGGTTCCACCAATTAAATATCTAAATTAATAATGTACCTAACACTGTAGAAAGTCTTTTATGGGACTTCATTGCGAGAATATAAGTTTTTTTTTGGAGATAAAAAGAAAATATATAAAATATAGAAGTTGGAATTATTAAAAGAAATAATGACTAACAACAAAAAAATAGATTTATTTTTCTTGCTATTATTCGGTGACTTGAGTTGAGAAATTCAGTATTTCACTGTGATTTTGAATAGCGATTCTGATTCAAAGTTAATTTTATTTTGACTATTTTTGGAGAAAGACGTCAAATAACTATTTATGATTTTTTTTCTTTTCTAAGAAAAAATAAAGATTAAGCTTTTTAATTATATTGTAGGATAGTAGATAATCACAATTTATAAACAAAAAGATTACCAAGAAAATAGACAAAAAAAAGTGTGTTAGTTGTATTTATCGTTCTTGAAAACATAATGATCCTCAATTTAAGCTTATTGATCAATAGGTGGATCAAAAAATAGAAAGTAAATACTTTCTCCAAATTAATTGTTATGTTTTCATTTTTGAAAGTTAATATGACTCTTTTAATTGAATTAGATCAACCCAACATTTAATACTTTAAATTAAAATATTCAAAATTGTACGATAAATACTACAAGTTGAAACTTTTCTGATGTTAACTTGATGAAAATATATATTTTAATTGACATGTTTTCTTTATTGTCGTATTTTTTTTTTCATAGCTATTTTGATTTGTTGCACTTGAATCGAAAATCTTTTGGAAACAGTCTATATATCTCCCACTAGGTACGGATAAAATTTGCATATAGTCTATCTTCCCAATTTTTACTTGTGCGATTATATTAAATATATTATTATTATTAATCAAAAGTCACATAATTTAACTCTCAAAAAATCTAACATTAGTAAATCTAATATTAAAACTAATATGAGACTATTTAAGTAGCAATTAAAGCTTATTAATCATCACATAATACAAAAAGGAATTCCCTCCCAATATGTCATGGTAGATAAAAGAAAAGAACATAAAAGACAAAATTCTCCTAACTCAATAATTTAGTATAATCTTTTTTTCTCTTTCAATAAAGATGCTTGTATTTTATTTTTAAAAAGTTTCAAAAGATTGGAAAAGATTATTAAGTCTTTGATATAGCATACTATCTTTGAACACCAAATTTCTAAATAAAAAAATTAATTAAGGGTCCAATCTATCATGAAACTCTCATCACCATCATCATTATTATTAGTTTGAGATGAATTATGCAATAATGCTAAAGCTTCTATAAAATCTTGTTAAATAGAAAAATATATGGCCTTCATTTTTATATTTAGGGGTGATTGCACTTTTAATCTCTCGTAACCTCAATACAGCTATCAAATATCAGGAATATCATGTGAAAAAACTAAAAAGAAACTTTTTTTTGGCTTTGATCCTCATAATATTTGATTAAATACATTTATTCTTTAATTAACTAAAAGTATGTTTAGCTATTATGCCTCACATAAATATTGATTATACTATATCTATGATTTATTTTACACTTATGATGATATTAAAAAAAATAAAAAATTGCGTCAATTACCAATTGTATTGTACCACATAAACAATATTATGATTAAGCAATAATAAGATTGTACAAGAGGATCTAAATCTTACTTAACAAGAATAATAGAGGGCCTTAAATCTTAATACTAGGGCCAACAATTATTCTCCTTATTCAAAACTCAACAAAATAAATAAAATAAAATGAACACCACCGACAGAGTTGAAAATTATAATTTTATTGATATTTGAGGATTAAAAGTGCTAATATTCTTTAGATTTATTACTTTATTTTAATTTTATGTGATGTTTTTCTTTTTAGCTGGTCCACAAAGAATGATATTATTTTATATTTATAAATAATTTAATTTTAATATTAATAAGATAATTTATAATTACACAAATAAAAAATTTCCACTAAATAAATGTAGAGGCATATTCTTTCTTGTATAGTTAATTAACTCTAGTTATCATATT